TTTTACAAAACTTATAATATTAATAATTAAAATTAAATATAATATAGTATTTGTAGTTAGACATATCAATTTAATTTTTAATAGAATTGTTCTATTAAAAAAGTCTAACAGCAAACTAGTGAACATTAAAAAAAAAAGTCATCAATCCAATGACATATTATATGCTCTGATAATTCATTATGAATTTCCTTAAAATAACCAATTAATTTCTTAAAATGTTTTTTGTAACTCATTATCATCATAAGATTGATATAAATGTGATATATGAAATTCTAGACTATTCATAGATGATTCAATTTCTGATAACTCTTTTAATATATCTTTATACCCTTGGATCATATCTAAAAGTTTTTTATAATTTTCCATTTCTATTATTTATATTAGTAAATATATTTTTTTTTAACATTGTTCTATTAAAAATATTTTTCTAATCTTTTTGATTTTGATTTCTAATTAGTGTATTGAGATGGTTTACAAAATCATTTCTATCTATATAACATTATTCAATCACAACAAAATAACTAAAATAGTTATTCTAGGTTTTTCAATATATAATCTTGTCCAAATTTGAATTTAAAATGTCTGTAAAAAATAACTGCGTGTTCATATATTTTTTAGATTTTTTGGTTACAGTATGAACTGTTTGTGAGAAACTTTGTTTTAAATTTGCAATCCTTAGCTATAAAAACTGAACATTTTATAATTTATTAATTACAATGATTGATAATTTTCGAGATTTTGATAAATATTGTCAAAATTCGATCTTTAAATGCTTATAAAAAAAAATTGTGCCTATGTATTTTTAATATTTTTCAACTGATATTGTAACAATATATCAGGAGCCTTGTATTAAATTTTTACACTTTTTGGCCCAACAGATAAAACTTTATTGATATTCATAGAAAAAAAAACTAAAAAAATTGAAAACTGAAAATGTCCGTAAACAGCTCAAAAAGAGTCAAAACATTTTCAAAACTGTATGGTATATAGGAAATGCTAATTTAAACATTCAGTGAAATTTTCATGTATCTACAGTTATTCGTTTTTGAATTACAACAAAATAAGGAAATCGCTACATGAGAAATCGAGTGAATATCCAATGTTGTAAAAATTTGAATTTCAAACGCTCATAAAAATTTAATTTGACTTTCTTATAGACATTTTTTTTTTTTTTGACAAAGGTAGAAAATCTTATAAGGAATCTTGTATTACATTTTAAAATCTTAGATTTAAAAAGCAAAAGTTTTATGAATTCTTAACTCAAAATAATTTGCTTATTTTCGTGATTTTTCCATATTTAGTCGATTTTTGAACTTTAAATGATTATAAAAAAAAAATGTAACTAAGGATTTTTAATATTTTTCATCTGCTTTTGAAACAATATACTAGGAGCCTTCTATTAAATTTTCAAGTTTTTTTAACCAACAAATAAAATTTTATTGATATTTCTAGAAAAAAAACTAAAAAAATATGAAAAATGAAAATGTCCCTCTAGAGTTCAAAATAAAACAAAATATTTTGAAAATGTTATCGTGTATAGAAAATGCAAATATAAACAACCAGTGAAAATTGCATGTATCTACTGTAATTTTTTTTAAATTATACCAAAAACCAAATTCGATTTTATGAAAAAATTCCATTTTGTTCCTTAATTTTTCTTTTGTTTTTCTTGACGCTTTTGAAAATTTCTGTGAATTTTAAATTTTGACCTCCCTAATGCATCAACGAAATTCACTTTCCAATCGAACAAGATACTGAAGTTGAAAATCGAAGCATTATTTCGCTACTTATCGTGTTCACAGAAAAAAAAATAAAAATAAAAAAACACACATCATTGTAAAATCAATACATTCATCGTTCCACTCAGAATCTAAAAAATGTCTTACCATCACATATTTGCAGTTCATAATATTATGTTAATAGAAATTTATTTTATTAAATAAATAATAATTGTGTTAAAAAATGTAGTATATGTTAAAACAGTATTAGTAAATTAGCAGTTAATATATATTATATTATAATTTGTATAGGTAGTCTGGTAGTACCTACTACCTATTTATAAGAACGTTTCTGTATAATTTCTTGTAATTGCTTACTTTTTCATACAACTTTAATCTTGAAGCGAGTCTAGTTATTCATGTCTCATCAAACTCTACTTTTACAGATTATATTTTTAGATGTATACTTGAACAAATTATCATCCAGAAATTATCAAATTTTCATAAAAAATGTATTATCAATAACCATAATCTATAAATTGTGTGAACAAAATTTGAAAGGAAAATATTGATTTTTAAGTGAATTACAGGTCTGCAGACATTAACGTCCCCGCTTTGCCACATGTTCCCCTACCTACGACAATAATAATAATTTAATTCTTCAACAATAATTAAATTATTTATCGAAGGGTTTGGATATATATAAACAATTTAAGGGATTCGAATTTCTTCAGGATCGACAGTATAAATTGAATATAAAATATATTTCAATACGATGTTTTTGCTTTTCGGTCGGTATCTACCTACCAGACCTACCTAGTGGTGGGCGGTCACTCTCAGGTCGGTGGGACTGGGAGTCTACACATATATACACTAGCAAGTAGCAATCGCTGTGGAAAGTATAGTCTCCGGCTTCCTGAGATTTTCGTAAATTGTTATATGTCATTAATTATTGATTAATGAACTAAGTCGGCGTTGCCGAAGTAATTCCCACGAAAAACCAAATTCAATTTTGTGAAAAATCGATTTTGCTTAAAAATTCCAGTTTTTCCTTAATTTTTCTTTTGTTTTACTTGGCGCTTTTGAAAATTACTTTTAAAGCCAAATCCATAAGCTGATGAGCTATATAGGTACCTATTATTCACGTAATCTTTCAAAAGTAAATGTAAAATCTTTATCATTGTTTAATATTTAATTATATATACTTACATATAGGTATAACTGTATAAAGAAATGTATAGTATTATAAATCATATATATCTTTGTAAGCAGCATTTTGATGATCGATGAATCCAACAACGGAGCCGCTGCTGGTGGTGAGCGGGCCTCGTGCCTCGCCTGAGCCCATTGTTTTTAAGGAGAGATATAAAACCTAACTTAACTTGCAGTACCTATGCACAATAAATCCAAAAAGACCTCCTCTCATTTATTACTTGAAACTTGTACTGTCATAATTTATAGTGCCTGCTGACACTATAATGATAGGCAAGCATCTGGGCACTGTAAAGAAAATTTTCGACGAAACGAATAAAAAAAAGCGGCTAAGTGGGTCAATGAATAATGGATTGTATTAAACTTGTACGAGACCCCAAAAAAATCGGAGGGGCCAGATTATTTGATTCAAGGGATTTTAAAAACGTAAATTATGTACGTATTTATGGGTGTATTATTATTTATTATATATTTCACCCCCCCCCCTACTACCGAAATTCCTAAATACGACACTGATAGTACGTGGTTACTATAACCTCATATCCCATAACTCACAAAAAATGTTTCGTTTAGGACACAGTTTTTAGATAAATAAGGTACGGAATACGCTTTTTTTTCAATTTTCACTAACAACAATAATGTAAAACCTATGAGGAACCTTGTACTTTCATACTTTCAAAATTTTTCAACGATCAACAAATTTTTTTTACCTCCATAACTGCTCAACCGATTTTAATTAATTTTTTTGTATATTTGGTAGGTATGAAAATAGGTAGGTAGTTTAAAAATAAGTATTTTTCACCCTCCTACCACCAACCGGGGGGGGGGGGGGTACTTAAACGTGGATTTTGATATTTACGGTGGAAATTTTAGTTTATAAATGGTCGCTATTGGTTATAGGGGAAATAATTGGTATAGAAATTATAGTATTTGATTATTATTGGTTGACATTGGTTATTCGGCAGGTCAGGTACAAGCATGTACCTATCGAATCGAATTTTTGAACATTGCCTACCTAGTCATAGCGCCTGAGTTGCACTTACTACAGTTACACCTAAAAGGAGTTGTGTACAATCATAATTTTTTTAAGAGTTGCCATTTTTTACGGGTAACAAAGTGCACGGGATCAGCTAGTATAATATACATATATAGTATTATATAGGTATAAGTGTATAACTGTATATTTACATTGATTATACATTTATACATAGTAGGTACCTATGTTATTAATTATTATAATATACATTATAAGAATATTTAAGTACCTATTAATACTTTATTATTTTATTATATTTAAGTGAAATATTTTTTACCAATTTAATTTAAGCATCAATCGATTTTGTTTCAATATTATTTATTAATATTTATTATAAATTATTTGTAAGCTGAATTAAACCACATAATATTTAGATTGAATTTCAGCTATTTAATTTTCAACGAACACAAAATAAAATTAAACATTTTATATAAATATCAAGTAAGTGTTTGATTTTCAATCTTCAATAATCATTAATCTTAGTAAGTTAAATAGATTTTAATTTTAAATATTTAAATTCCAATTAGAGTTAAAGCATGGTACAATAATTATGATTGACAAATGTTGTGTGGAACGAAGTTCGACATAATAAAAGACTTCGTGTAGATGTTCGCAGTGACTATTTCTACGTCAGACATGAAATCATGAAACGAATTTACTAATAAAAAAAAACTATAATATACGATAAGGATTAAGGAATAAGGATAACGTTTTTACATTAATACGTAATTTTTTTTAAAGTTAAATATATTATTTACCTCCATAAATTATTATTTTAAATTTATATACACCCGCCTTGGCGAAACATGTGATATTCTTATCAATCGTATGTCCTCTTGCTGGTGTGCCGGACTGTTCTATCAGCTCAATGGATTGCTGATAACTCTGTGCCTGCTTTTTCAATTTTTATAGTTATTTCTTCACCGTCATCACTAGTCCCTAAAATTTTTTTTCACCGCTCGCTGAATTGCGATTATTACCTACCTCCTTACCCGTCCTTTCATTTGTAATTAGATTTCACCGTATCCGAAAAAATGAATTCTAAACTCTTAGCCTTGAGCTCAAAGATCATTTTTAGGAATCCAAGTAGAATGTTTGCTGCTTCTTCCGCAAAATTCACCAAAGTCAATGATGAAGGTGAGTACTCAAAAATATGCATTTTTAATTTTTAATTTTTAATTAATCCTAGGTAGGTTATGTTAAAGATAGGTATGCCTTTTCATGAATTCCTTACAGATTATGTAATAGCTATTACCTATACCTATAAAAATCAATGAATTGTGATATTGTCTCAAATTATTGATTCATATGACTGCTTATTAATAGTAGGTAACTTTTCACAAAAATCTTATTACTTTCTAGAAAAATTACTAAAAATTTGATGCTTTGTACCCAATGTATCAAATTTGTAAGTATTTATAATATAATAGTACCTATACAACTATGTAAAGGTCAACTGAAATATTGTAATCAATACCGTTTAGATAAGATAGTAATGAATTTAATAATAACTACTAAGGTTGAATAGGTTGATAATATTTTAGCAATATTCAGTGGTACCTATATCTATTAGGTGTCAAAAGGACGTGAAATTCTATTTCTAAATTTTATTGGGTAACAGGAATCTGTCAGGTTTTACAGATAATTACAACATTTTAAAAATAAATAAATTTATTTAAATATTTTTTTTATTTCTGAAAAAAAAATTTACAATCTGTACATATTATAATGCTCAATATAATGGACCAATAAGGAAATTTTATATTTAATGTACAATGAAGCATGGCATAAATAACACAATGAGAGAATCACAAATTGCTAATACTTATTAGTAGAGCGTTGATGAATATTTTGTTTCATGACATAACAATTTAAAATATGAAACTTTTATGGAGCATATTTTGCTTATTTCGACATTTATCATTTAACCATTTTTCTTTTATTTTAAGGGCTTATTTTAAGATTTTAATTTTAGACATTTTTGAAATAATCAAATATAAAAACCACCAGCTTCCTTGCTCCGCTGAGAATCTACAAAATAAATTATATTTTTTAGTTTCAATTAGGTATTACTGATTTGTTGACTGTCAGCGAAGACTGGCTTATTAATGAGTGGCATCATTCAATATAATTAACATGTAGTTTTCTGGAGTAAACATTTGGGTAAAATTTACCTAGGGGCTAGGGTACACTTTTTAGATCTTTACCTTTCATGTGCATGTCTTGAAACTATAAAAAGTAACATAAAACTATAAAAGGTACATAATATAACTGGAAAAATATATTATTTTATTTTAACATATTCAATTCTTGGCACTTGAAAATAACTAAAATAAAACTTTAACCATAGTGTTTTTAATTTTTTGGTACTATTTCTCTATTTCTATTTCAGGGTTTCCCGATCCTTTGGATTTAGCTACCGGTATTGAAAAGAAAGAAATGCTCTTGCGTCTAGCTGGAAACGATGTAAGTTTATTTAAGCATACTATAGTTTAATATTTTATTTTGTTATTTTACTATATATTATCATTTAATAAATAGTACAATTATTTTCTGTACTTAGAAAGATTTTTAACTTAAAAAAAATGTCTGTAATATTCAAAGTTAATCAAAATACACTTGAGATTCACAAAGTTAACTTAAAATGTAATCAGCTTTTAAAAATTCCTACTTACAATTGCATAGCTAGTGTGAATGTAGGGGATGGTACAAACCAAAAATTACATGTTTGTCAATTAACATAAATTTATTTTATTGCATTTAAAAATTTACCATTAAATATTAAAGAGTTACCATTATTTAAAAAAGAAGATACATTATACGTTAATTGGAAATTAACAAAGTATTTATATACTAATGACTTTGAAATACTTGAGTCTTTTTTCTCTAACAAACAATTTGGTTTCATAAGGAATCTCTACGGAACATAGGTAATTCTTATGGTTGATAACTTTGTTCTAAAAATATTGATAATAATTTTAAAGTATGTAATGAACAATGAGTATTATTCTTAGATGTTCAAAAAGCTTTCAACTGCGTAAATCATGAATTATTTCTTAAAAAATTGTATGTACAGGGTGCGGCAGTCAAATCCGACAATTTGAAAAAATAAAAAACTAAAAAAACAATTTTTTATTAATTTTTCCACAAACAAATAAAAATTACACAAGTGGAATTTTATGTTATATATTTAAAAACTTAATTTTTTAAAGATTGTGTCAGCCAAATGCCTTCATTGGTTAGCCACACCTTACTTTACACGCTATGATTACTTTTGTAATACTCTTTTACCGCGAATGCACGCTGTTCACTCGGCCAATGCTCCATGATTACTAAATTCTGGGTATTTAAAAGCGATAAGAACATTCCCGAAATCTCTACCACTTTAGCCACGCCCACCAGTTCATGTTAAAATCATCAGGTTTGACTGCCGCACCCTGTATAAGGTATGGAGTAGGTACCAAATAATCTTTTAAAATCTTTTTTAAGTTTTAAAATATCTAGATCTATTTAGTATAAGTATAAATTTTAGTTACTTTACATAAAAATCCATTCAACTTTTATCAATTGCACATTACTTTTTCTTAATACAGTTATATAAATTAAACATAAAACAAACATTATTTTCTTTTATGCATTAAATTGGTTGATAATAACTGCTCCCCTAAAACAAGTATACATTTTAGGGGGTGGTACATTATTGTAAACAGTTTTAAATTCTAAAATGTTTTTATAACCTATTATTGTTACAACAAATATATTATTTCTTATTACTAAAATGTAATCAATGCTATAAGAAAATAGTTTATTTTAAGTATAATTTTGTTTATATAATATTGTATTGAATTCATATTAAAAAATAATTATCATTGTACCAATCTAATATGTAAATAAATATACCTTATTTCTATAAAATTAGTTTTAAATAAATTAGTTTTATATTTTATACTTATAAATACTTCTTAAACATTTAAAAGCAAGCCATTTTATTTCTTAAACAAAAAAATAATTTAATTATATTTTTTTTCAAACAAAAAAACAATTTAATTCAGTTAAAATATGTCTGATGTTTTGTAAAGTTTAAAATAGTAAACAACATTTTATTGTTGGGGAATATACTCATTTAGGTAATTGAGGGGCTAATGAAATCAGAAACAAGTACATTGTACATACATCTTCAAGTACCTATCTAAAGAATGGCTAATGGGACCTCTGGTTATGCCACTGTTTATTTACTTATAATAAAAAAAAAGTCGTTAAAATTAAAAAATAATTTCAGAGTTCATCGCATAATTTATCATTAAAAAATACTTCTTTAATGAAAGCAATATTTTTTAAAACATGCATTTTTTTGCATAGCATAAATTGTATTATGTTTAAAAATATCCTCAAATTATCTGTTATGTCATACATTTCCTATAATATCAATATATATAATTATTTTATAGGATCCATACAATTTGAAAGCTATAAAGCGTGGCGTGGGTACCTGTGATAAACCCACTTTAGTTCCATCTGCTTTTGAAGCAAGAATTATTGGCTGTGTCTGTGAAGAAGACGCATCTCATGTCAAATGGATGTGGCTATATTCTGGAGAACCAAAACGTTGTTATTGTGGACATTGGTATAAATTAGAATTCAAGGAAGCACTTGTATGAACAATAAATGTTTGTTATAACAAGTATATAGTCCTGTTCCAAATGATATATTTTTTGTCTGTTCAATTGTTATGTTATTAAAAAGTCCATCGTTGGAATCAATAACAGTTAATTGTTATTAAATTGTTTAACAAAAAAAGAAAATGAAAAAAAAAAATGTTAGAATAATATATTTTAGTATTTTAAGTACTTAAACTGTTCATATTGTTAATTCGACAAACACTGTCATTTGTAGTTTTGGTAAAATAATCAATTATAAATATTATATTAAATTAAATAAAGTTTTTTTATTGTATATATCTGTGAGGTAATTATGTTCTATGTGAAAAACAAACAAGACATTTTTACAGTTTTAAATTATTGCTTCACTTGTTTCTAAACAAACTGTTTTGTTTAGACAGTTTTTTATACTTAGGTTAATAATATATTTTCAACTTAAACAACAAAATTTTAATTTTATAAACATAAATAATTTTAATTTATTAATGGCATTAAGTATAATTACAAATTAAGTATAATAAATGTACTTATTTTTGTAAAACATTTTAGTGTAGTATAATAAATTTAAAATTATCTTGAAATAATAAAAACAAATAAATATGATTATACAATATGATAAACAAAACTTGAGATTAAAGTAACTATCTTAACCTGTTACTGTTTGAATACATAAATGTTCATTACACATATTTTATTATTCAAATTGTTTCAATATGCTGTTGGTTGATTTGTTGGGTTTGGCTGTTTGTTGAATTTTCTCTTGATGAAGCTGTGAGGTGTTTTTAACACTAATCAATGTTTTACTAAGATTGATAGTATCTGTTTTCTCTATTTTCTGAAAAGTAAAAAAGTAATTTTTAACCAAATTGTTGTTTATAGGATTTATTTATTATTTTTAAGGTTTTCAGCTATACAATATACATATTATACTCTTGTTTTACAAATAATGGGTGTTTTTATTGTTTTCTCAGTTTTTCTTGAAAAAAAAATGCTCTGTTAATCTACTTTGAGGGAGTTTGTGTCTAGGGGTAGACAATGGGGGTTCAAAAGTAGATATTGTCAATTACTAAATTACTATAGGGCATAAGGTGCTTTTGCTTTGTTTGAGTTCAAATTTTTTTTCTAGACTCACATACATGTATATTTCAATAAATTAAAAAAAAAAAATGTTTGCGTATGGTAAAATAATAGTAATAAAAACAAATGTTCAGTAGTGATGGGAACAATCGAGTAACTTGATCATTTGAGTAAATCGAGTAACTCGATTGTTGGGAAAAATAATCAAATTATTTGCTCAGTCTCGATTTTCGGAACCAACTGAAAAAAATCAAATGAAAAATTAGTAATTACTAATTTTGGTAGCAGTTATTCAAATTGTAATAAGTAAAAATAATGAAATAACTAATAACAGTAATATTATACTCTAGTATATTTATTCTACTAATCAAGTAATTTCTTAACAGTTAACACAGTCTTATAGCGTTTTTCATCTGACTGCACTAGTGCACACTAGCGAACACTGATACCATAACCACAGTATCACATCATTTTCCACACCGCAAAAATTCACTGTGTCGACCAGTGTACACTAGTGCAATCAGATGGAAAACGCTATTAATATTTGAATTCAGGTTAAAAGAACACAAAAATAATAATACAATTACGGACTACATTATCTCAAATCATATTATCTATTTTAAATAATTATAAAATTATTAAAATGACATAGTTTCATAGTAAATACTAAGTACTCTGTTCTGGAGATCTTAGTCATTGTCATTGTTTTATAGTATTTATTTATAACTTATAAGTATTACACTGGGTGTATAATTATTTTATTACACTCAGAGATATTTGTTATTATTATATTATATTATATTATTTTATAATATGGACATAGTAGTGCACAAAAAGTCATACTATTATATGGTTTTATACTTTTATCGAAGTAAAAACTCATCGTACGTTTTTATGAACTAAACTGTTTACACTATTGCGTACACGAATTGGTAGTTTAGTTAATAAATAAGTAATTTACTGTACTACTACAATATTTAATAGCTAATATAGAAATATATTTTTGCACAAATTCGATTTTTTTAAAACGCGACCAGGAAATAAGCAATGTTCGATAGTGTGGGAGCATTTCAAAAAAAATAGTGACAAAACGACAGTAACATGCCAAGTCGAAAATTGTAAGAAGGACTTAAAGTTTTATGGACACACAACTAATTTAAAAGGTAGATACTAAAATATTATATTATTATTTAGTTAATGTATAATTCATAATTCCTCTTATATATTTACCTTTATTATATCTTTTAACAAACTATTTATTTTTTTTTATTTTTTTAAAAGAGCACTTAAAACGAAAATATCGAACGCTTATTGCTATTCCTGTGTCTACAACAGACGATCCAGATTCTGATTTACAAAATATCGAGAGCATTGACAATTTGTCAAATGTTCAATCTCCTTTGACAAGTACACATTTTATACAAAACCAATCTTTAACTCTTCTTCCAGCTAAACGCTCGCGTCAACTAAAATTATTCTGTTCAACTAAACATACTGAATTTACTATTATAGAAAAGAATGATATTGATAAGTCTTTAATTAAAATAATCACGGCTAATTATCAGCCCTTATCAATAATCAAAAATTTTGGATTTTTAGAATACCCCAAAAAGTTACAACCGCTTTAAACTTATCCAAGTAGGAAATTATTAACTACAAAATTACCGTCTGATCAGTATAGCATAATTATGTCTAAACTGAAATTTATGTTAAACAACAATGTAAATGATGTGTCTATAACAACAAATATGTGGACATCTGATTCACTAGTCTTATATTACTGTTACTTGCCATTTTATTTACAACGATGATTTATACTCGCCAGTTATTGCAGAGAAGTTTGCCAAAGTCATACCAGAGAAAATATTGCTTCTGCGATATCATATATTTTTAATGAATGGAATATAACTAATAAAATAGTTACAATAGTGTCTGACAGTGGAGCAAATATAAAAAATGCTATTAATGAACATCTGAAAAAATATCACCACCAATGTGTAGCTCATACCTTAAACTTAAGTGTTAATGATGCCATAAATAAAAACACAGAACTTCTCCGGGTATTAAAAACATGTCGAGCTATAGTAGGTCACTTTAAACAGTAGTTCTGCAACTGAGAAATTACGTGAATTTCAAAAACAGATGGGCCTCCCTGAGCTGAAAGTTAAACAGGATGTGAGCACTAGGTGGAATTCATGTTTTATCATGGTTGAAAGGCTCATTAAAATAAAAAATCCAATATCTGCTGCAATGTCGTCTTTCCGACGAGCTCCAAATTGTTTGACTGCGACAGAATGGGATTAAATAGCAGATTGTGCTCCAATTTTAAAACCATTTGAACATATGACGTCAATATATGATACATATGACATCATTTTCAATCAGTTTTTATTATTATTTTTATTTTTTAAGTTTTGAACAGTTGCTTGTTATAAACAATGAATCGCTGATTGTTTTATTTTAAAAAGTATATTGTTTTTATATTATAATTTATAATAATAAATGTAGTGTTATTTCAATTAAAAATATTACTACAAAGTTGATTATTGATTGATTTTTATTTATTACCTAGTGCAGTGGTATAATAATTTACCACTTTGATATGTTAATGCGATTACCGATCACAAAATAACAACAACAATGTTTGCGTACAAGCTTACTACTCGTATGACATTACATTTCAAGTTGCATCAAGTGGTAAAATAATATACCAATAACTCATTGTTAGAAGAATAAAAACTAACTGGTAGATATAGCTACCAGAGACCTATAAAGGGTTAAAATAATTAAAATTTTGCAAAGTTTTAATATTATAATTAATATAATTAATATAATTATTTAAAACGATTATTACAAAACAGTTAAAAAGTTTGACCGTCTCTACTCAGAGTAGTTTTTTATTATATGTAATGATTCATTATTGCATTTTCCTTTAACGCAACCATTTCAGTGACCTACTCAATTTTAAAGTACCTACATATAATAATAATAGTCACCTTTACCTAAATAATAAAATATATGAACTTAAAAATATTTTAAAAGTATAATTTTTGATTTATTATAGTATTAGATACCAACATGGTAAACAATAACATTCAAAAATTTATTTTACTTAAATACAGTAAATAAATAATACAAACCATTAAATCAACACCAACTTCATTTTTTTTGTCATTTCTCATCAAATATGCAAATGGATTACTGGTAGCAGTGGCTGTGATTGTACTCAATGACTTCATTTCTGTCTTTTCTTCATACATTTTAGGGTTCGGGCCATCATTATAAGTTGTTTTTTTATTTACAAACAACAATGTATTAGTCAACTTGTCACCAGTACGTTTCATGAATGATCCTTTTATACATTTATTGTGCTGGAAAATATTAATGATTTATACAAAACAAATATTGAAACTAATATAATATAGGTAACAGACTAAGTATATTATTATATTATTGTTACACTGTACTCTTTTAAATTGTATACATTAATTTATTATCATTAATGAACATATATTACTTTTGATGTGATTACGTTCACAAGTTGGAGGTCAGTAAAATCATTGGTTGTTATTTTATTTGTTTTAATTGTATCAGTTGAATTTGTACTTAAAGTTTGACTATTTGGATCAGTTTCATCAGTACTTTCATTTACCTCTGTTGATTCATTTTTTTTTTCACTATCGGATGTTTTTGATATTAGCTTACTTTTGCCATTTTTATACCTCACCTAAATTGAAATAAATTTATTATTTATTCATTAATTTGCATATATACAAGGTAGGCCATATTACTAAATATCATTGAAAAACTAGAAAATATGGTGGCCTATCTTGTATGGAGATATAAAACATGGTATAAGCATTTAGTAAATAAAACATACAACATGGGTTTTTTTCACAACTGATACAGATGTCTGTAAAATATTATTTGATTCTTCATCGCTTTCTTCTTCATCAGAGTATTTATTTTTCTGGAAAAAAAAGAAAAATATAATATACACTATACATTATAAATATATGTAAGTGGACAACTGTTTTACCAGTAAATAAATATTATAAATCTACTTATTAGTTATTTTTGTTTATAAAGGCATAGAAATTGAATCAGTTTTATTTTTGCATATTTCAACATATTCTTTTTTAGTTTTCAAGAGAATATAATGAAGATATTTGAAGGTTTTTTAGAGAATATTAGCATCATATTTTAACTATTTTAAGAGAATATAAATCCGGTCTTTACTTATTATTAATATGGTAGCCGGTATGTTGAATTAATATTATAAAATTACAATCCTAATTGAAACGAGTCAAAATATTTTTAAAATTTAGTTAGAAATATAATGAACTGTATTTTTATTACAGCCAGTACAAGTTATCAAAGCAGTATTTTGATTAATTCCAGACAAGCAAATACAACATGTAACAAATCTATTACAATAAACCTGATGTTACTATTCAGATGGTGGACACAAGCACAAGTGCACAACGAACGATAAACGAATGTCTTACTTGTATAATGGATAAAACTGTAATGTGTCGATATACAAGGTGTACCAGGGAGATCTAACAATTTTACATTTAACATACATTTGAATATGTCAGATTGTCGTGATAAATTCAGTAAATATATTATACAGTGTAACAGAAAAATCTGACAATAATAAAATAAAAGTAATAGATACTAGTTAAAAGTATGATAAAAATTGTGAAAATTATATGGATATTGGATAATATATAATCTAAGAAATATATTCATGCCATTCCCAAAATTAAAATTTTGAAAAAAGTTATTTCGTTTTAAATGAATTTACTCCAAAAAATATAAATATTTTAAAAAAGTTCTAACATATAAACTACTTAACTTAGATAAATGTTTTTACCATCAAATTTGTTCTTATAATTAGATTTTAAAATTGTCTATTTTAAAATTTTCTAAAAAAACTAGGATCAAATTTTTTAAATATTACTTTTATTTTTAAGTAATAAAAATGAAAAATGTTATCCTATAAATATAGGGAGTGTTTATTAATTATACGAAAGAAATATTTTTTTGAAATATTGTCAGTTCTTTCTGTTCCGACCTATATTTTAATATTTAGATATATAATAATATATTGTTACTTCTGATAAATAAGATTCACGCTTGAAACGTTCTTGTCTCCACTGTTCCGTTTTGTCATCATCACTTAATGCATCATCTTCGTTATCATCTTCATTGTCTGAGAATAATGGTCTCTTTAGAGAAACATCATTTTGATCTGTATCGGAAACAAAAATATTATATCTAAAGAAAACATATTAATAATTTAAAATCTAACCAGCTTCATCCCATTGAAATTTTCTTTTTCGGTTGGATTCTGAATATAATTCACCATCTTCAAGAAGCATTTCTTTGAGTGCAGTTACTTGCTGTTTATCATCGTCCAACAGTTGGCGCCTAAATTTAGTTTAAAAACATTAATTTAAACCCAAATGATTACAAATAAATTTATAACCATACATATATATCTTGTCTAATCCATCTTTAACAATATTTTCATCTAGCTTATCCTTGTCACCTTCTTCTTCTTCTAATTTGTCATTTAAACCAACTAATCTATCTTCATCATCAGAACTCCAGTCTGATTCAGATAACTCAGCTTCATCATCAAAAAAGTCTTTAGCTGAAACTAGTTTGAGAGACGCATTATCATCATCAGCATCTTCTTCGTCAGCATCGTTTTGTGTACTAAAACAATAAATATTACTCACATACTACATTTAAAAAAAAAAAAAAATCATAAATATTTAACGAACACTTCATCATCAAAATAGTCTTTAGCTGAAACTAGTTTGAGAGACACATTATCATTTTCATTTGTAATACTGTCAGCATCGTTTTGTGTACTAAAACAATAAATATTACTCACACACTATATTTAAAAAAAAAAAATCATAAATATTTAACGTACACTTCATCATTAAAATAGTCTTTAGCTGAAACAAGTTTGAGAGAATTTGTAATACTGTCAGCGCCGTTTAGTGAACTAAAATAATATATATTACTCACATATTAAATTAAAAACAATTCATAAATATTTAACTTACACTTCATCATCAAAATAGTCTTTAGCTGAAACCAGTTTCAGAGACACATCATCATTAGAATCAACTTCATTTGTAGTACTGTCAGCGTCGTTTTGTGAACTAAAATAATATAAATTATTCACATGTTATATTAAAAATAAGTCATAAATATTTAACTTACGCTTCATCGATAAAAAAGTCTTTAGCTGAAACTAGTTTGAGAGATACATTATCATCAGCATCATCTTCATTTATAATACTATCAGCGTCGTTTTGTGTACTAAAACAATTAATATTACTCAGATAATATATTTAAAAAATAAGTCATAAATATTTGACTTACACTTCAGAATCAAAATTATCTTCAAAATTATCTACTTCTTGACTATCATCTACCTGTAAATATAAAATATAATATATTTATCTAGTGACATAAAAAATATAAGTTGTATATAAAACCTTAACATCCAATTGTTGGGATTGGAATTGTCCAGAACAAAAACCCATTAGTTGTTGTGTAGAGGCAATAGCTTCAGAATCATTAAATAAAGGTGATAAATTTGGTATTAATTTAATTTCTGTGTTTGAATGATTTTCATCCCTAGTGTCCATGTCATCATCACTGCTTTCCGATAATAAAACTAATCTACGTTTCTTATTTTTAGAAAATTCTATAACACAGTCTAAAAGAAAAAAATTACTTTACTAAACAGTAAAGTTTTCAAATTTTTTTTTATTTTTTCATTAGATATTTGTGTTACCTTCTTCATCTCCTGATTCATTATTAAAATTATTAGACCGATTGTCTTCATCATCTGAACTACAATCTAATTCAGACGACTCTGCTTCGTCATCAATGAAAGTTTTGACTATATTTCTTTTTAATTTGTCTTCAGTGTCTATAATATTATTACGATTAAAAATAATCTAACTTACTTGTTACATTCTAATTTTTTTTTAAGTTGTCATTACCTTTCTGAAATTTACAAAAAAAAAAATTAATATAAATTTTGAATAAAGAAAGTAACATATTTATACAAACCTCTGTTTCATCTTCAGTGAGAGGTTCTTCTGGACACAAACTTTTCCCTTGCCTAGAATTATCTTCATCATCATCATCAATTGCTTCATCTTCAGATGATAATTCACTTGCTATGATTGAGTTAGTGTCATAGTTTTCTTCATCGTCATTAAATTCAGATAAACTATTGTTATGGTTCTCGTTTAGAGTAATCTCTGTGTAACACAACAAATAAATACTATAAAAATATTCATATTTTAATTTTTTAAGAAACTAATAGGTACTATTATTTTATAGTTAATTTTAATAGTTTCAATTTAAATGGCTTATTAAATTTACCAAATTATTATATTATAATTCAATCCGCTTAATTGGGATACATTGGGCTATTATCTATTCGTCCACATCATCAAATTCCGTTATCCAAATCAACCAAATAATTTTACATACAATACATTACATACTGTCATTAATGCCCTCATTAAGCGTTTGTCCCCTTTATGTGGTATCCCAATTAAACATATTAGATAAACATAAGTCAAATATTTCAAACCTTTATCATAGTTTTTTTCATTTAAAGAAAAATTATTTTCCGCTTGAGTATTACTATTATCCAAAGCTACTTCTTCATTGTTTTCTTCTTGAACACTCTCTTCATTGTAAAATTTTTCAACAGTTTGTTCTTTACTTTCTATCAATTCCCTAAATAAATATACATAAATAAATGAATGAAAAATAATAAAATAAAATATTTGTTACATTATATTATGTCTATTGTGTATTACGTTATCACTGACATGTAGGTTATGAATATTATGTATATATTATTATATTTAATTTTATAATGTCAAAATTACTTAGAAATGTTTTTAACTCTAGCCTCACCTCTACAAATAACAACACACGGTAAAATTAATATCTGATGAATGAAGTCAAACTAATAATTAATAATGATTAAAATAATCTCAGAAATTAATAAATAGTAGTTTAGGTACACATCAAAATCTATAAACATACAATTTACACCCAAATAGTGATTTTTAGCTGAGTAAAAATGTTTACAATTATGTATATTGATATCATAGTCAAATATATTACCAATAATTAAATAATACATTTTGAAATATCACAATAGCTTACAAATTACAATAATTATAATTTTCATAGTCCTACCTAACGACAAAACTATAATACACGGTTGCTATGCTCACTCAATCAAAACTGCTCTTCATTTGCTATGGAAAACTTCCCACAGTGGGAAATAGTTGATAAATGTATTCTTCAACACCATATTAAATAGTATATAATATGTTCTAGAAATATTGGATATACATTTTTCTTAAAACTGAATACACCATACCAAAATTAGATTTTATACATTAGGTAACTATTGTTTATTAAACTCAATATTTTTAATTTTACTTGCCATGCTTTATGTAGTAATTTTTTGGATCCTGTTATAGATACATGATACTCGGTTGATTGTTTCTGTCTGTTAAGGAAGTCTTTCAATGACTTTTGTTTAGGTTTGTGATATGGTAAGCGCACATGACTATCACTAATCAGTCGTTGAGTTTCTCTGCTTATATCATCTATATTTGTCTTACTATTATTTGATGACTTCTAAAAAATAAATGTAAATGTAAGTATACAATAAAATTTAAATAAAAGTAAAATTAAAAATGTATTTATTGTTTATGTTAAGCAATTCACTTTTACTTTTAATAATTATTTTAATACCAGTGATCCAATATGTATTATCAAATTTAAAGGTTTTTTTTTTATTTTAATTTTTTATTAGATACAATCTATACACAAGGGTATAATAAGAATATGTGCTACAAAAAATTTAGAACATGAATAGTGTGAGGGAAGAAACCATCCAGTGATAGCACTTATCTTTGCTTTAAATTTAAAGGTAACATCTAAAAACATTGACCAGGTCAATTTACTAAAATATTGAAACTATCAAAACTAAATATGATTACAATTTGTAATTACACACTTGTACAAACAAGATAACAATTGTAAAATGTGAATGTGGTTTTCTTTTAAGAAATCTTAAATTATAAGTAAGTATACGAGGATAAATTATTTTTTAATAACTTAAGTTATGACAATATTTGACTATGGAACAACCTTGAACCATTGAGATGATTACATTTTTTGTCTGGAATTTAATAGTAGATTCTACAATGACATAACCTCACCCTTGCACAATCAGTATTACTGAAAATATGTCAGTATACCTATTCTTTAAGTGGTCAGTATACTAGATTAGTGTCAATGACCATTTTCTTTCTGCCTTTAACTACTGAACAGTTCAAAACAAATCCCTGCCCTTTGATGACAATACTGAAGAATTGACATTCCATCAATATATGTCATCAGTATAAAAAAATTAACAACTCAATGTCTTATTTTTCTATCAAACATCACCCATCAGTTTGTTTCTCTATAGTGGCAGTACATCAATAATCATGTTACACAATCAATATTATTGTCAGTAGGAATCTGTCAATAATAGTGTTTGTGTAGGGCCATAACACAAATATTTAGACTACCTATATGTAATCAATTATTATAGTATAATTTCATAATTTTATTTTATATTATAAAACAACTCATATTGCACATGTTTACTGTTTAAGTATGTCAATGATAGAATTTATAATTGTTAAAATATATTAATATATCATAAAGTATACTATAATATGAAGACAAAAATTACTATGTTTATTACAAATCTCATAATATGGCATTCAAGTACCTAGAGGAATCTAATTTCCTTAGTTGACAAATTTACACAAATAAATTTGAAACATCACACTTCAACCGAAAACGATTTGTTCAGCCATATTTTGATGTACACAATAACATAATATTGACTAACATGTATACTAAAATCATTGAGTAAATATATACAATATATACTCAATTCTAATATGTATACTTACCATAATTGAGGATTGCAATTTACGGCTCAATTGATCGAAAACCGATATTGTTGGAAATCAGTAATTAAGGAATACCAGTTCAATACACATACTGCGCGGATAGTGTGTACTAAGTATTGAATATTTAATTTTTCGGCAATCGCTAAAAACTCGCAGAACTTGGAAGAGTGCAAGACGGCAGGGCGCAAGTTGAGGAGGTCTAGCAAAGCGAACTGTAAATATGAAGTAAATTATCAAAAATTGTGAATTGAATAATCGAAGTATCGAACAAATGAATAATGTCTTAACTATTGTTAATTGATATCTTATCGCTGTATTCGACATTTTGGCGGCAAAACTGTAAAAGAACAACGAGTGGCGAACTAAATATGATAAGACCGACCAGTGTGGGCATCGTAAATATTCGTGTACATTATTTTATTCATACTTCATAATCATTCATTTTTTTTTACCTCCAAAATAATAATAAAAACATACTTGTAGACTGTAGTGACAAACTGACAAATTACAATTTATAAACATGGGTGACTACAGTGGTGTCCGCATTTGGGGGGGGGGCAGCGGTCTGGAGCCTCCCCCCACATTGCCCGTATTATTATTACATTTTCAAAAAATATTCATTAAGTTTCAACTGTCAACTATAAAATCTGTAAGGAAGACGTAAATTTCATATGTCTTACCAGAATGAATTCATTTTTGAAAAAACATTGTATTTGCATACCAATTTTCCTAAAATTATTTGTAATTTTTCTGTAAAAGTATGAACAACTTGTATGAAAGACCTTGTAGGTATTAAATTGTCTAGCCTTATTAGCTATATACACATTTAATATTTTATAAGTTTTGTACAAATTAACTGTGGTTTTGACGAAATTTGAGCTTTAAATGCTTATAAAAAATAACCATGATACCTACCTATATATCGTTAATATTTTTGATATAATAAAAACTTACTTATTACATTTTTAAGCTTTTTGACTGGATAAATAATTTTTTATTGACATTTATGGAAAAAAAAATTTTATTTAAAATACAATCTAAGTGAAGAACTGAGGACGGTATAACCAAGCTGGTTACCAAACCATTTTAATACATTTTCATTTTTTTTTCTAAAATTATTTTAAAAAGCACTGAGCACTTTCAATTTCAACCTCCTAAAAGTATACCAACTAGATCCAATTTGCTTAAAAAAACATACATCAGGCATCGAAGTTTATGACCAGAGCATTTGAAAAGTTGAGAAGTTACTAACATTTTAAAATACCTCAAATAAACGTCTAAAATTATTAGACTGGACAAAATAAAAATAAAATTGTAACTAATTTTCAAGCCTCCCCCCCCCCCATTGAAAAATCCTGAGTACGCAACTAGATGACTACTTAACTACTCCGTGTGTGTAAGTTCAAAATTGTCGATTATTTTAATATTAGAATGTTACAAATTTATATTAGGTACCTATAAGGTAAAACTTTTTTTTATTCTGTTATTAATATAATCATTAATCATATTTAATTCTTTAGTATTAAATTTCTTCTTCAAGTCACTCATGCTATTACATAATATATTATAACTAGTAATAATAAAAAAAAAAAATCCGTTATGGTTATTGTACTTTTTTTTATGTACAGATAGTTTAAATTCTAGATTAAAAAAAATGTATTACATTTATTATGATAATATATAATAAATAATAATTATAATATATAATATGTATTTATCAAATATGTTTAGAATGTTATGGACTTCCGAAATAAATTCCATATTATGTAAATATATGTATAAAGTAATAATCAGAATTTATAAATGCTGCAGAATGTTTTTATTGGATATGCCATCGCACTATTTATCAAGCCTTTTCTATCATGTAATTAAATTTTACATGGTAAAATAAAGATTTAGCTTAGATAATATTATGTTATACTTTCAGTGAATTAAGTATATTACCTAGTCTTTATAAAGTATACGGTATATCGACATAAAATTAAGACCCCCTCCCCCTATAAAAATTGCCATAGTTACGTGCATGGTACTATGGTAGGTACTTATTACAAATTTACCTGTTGTTGTGGTATGATTTATGAATATCATGCATCCACTTCACAGTTATCACACGAAAAGATCATCTCACCTTAGAAAGTTATAATCATGAGTATGACAGCGGAAAATTGCAATGAGTACAAAAAGTAAGAACTGAAAAACCCATCGATTGTATATAATACACACTCGAAGTTTTCGGAACTTTTTGGGAATTACTTCGGCAACGCCGCCTTAGTTCATTAATCAATAATTAATGACATACAACAATTTACGAAAATCTCAGGAAGCTGGAGACTATACTTTCCACAGCGATTGCTACTTGCTAGTGTATATATGTGTAGACTCCCTGAAGTCCCACCGACCTGAGAGTGACCGCCCACCACTAGGTAGGTCTGGTAGGTAGATACCGACCGAAAAGCAAAAACATCGTATTGAAATATATTTTATATTCAATTTATACTGTCGATCCTGAAGAAATTCGAATCCCTTAAATTGTTTATATATATCCAAACCCTTCGATAAATAATTTAATTATTGTTGAAGAATTAAATTATTATTATTGTCGTAGGTAGGGGAACATGTGGCAAAGCGGGGACGTTAATGTCTGAAGACCTGTAATTCACTTAAAAATCAATATTTTCCTTTCAAATTTTGTTCACACAATTTATAGATTATGGTAATTGATAATACATTTTTTATGAAAATTTGATGATTTCTGGATGAATATTTGTTCAAGTACATCTAAAAATATAATCTGTAAAAGTAGAGTTTGATGAGACATGAATAACTAGACGCGCTTCAATAGATTAAAGTTGTATGAAAAAGTAAGCAATTACAAGAAATTATACAGAAACGTTCTTATAAATAGGTAGTAGGTATCTACCTATACAATATTATAATATAATATATATTAACTGCTAATTTACTAATACTGTTTTAACTTTTAAGATATAATACATTTTTTAACACAATTATTATTTATTTAATAAAATAAATTTCTATTAACATAGTATTATGAAATGCAAATATGTGATGATAAGACATTTTTTAGATTCTGAGTGGAACGATGAATGTATTGATTTTACAATGATGTGTGTTTTTTTTTTTTATTTTTTTTTTTCTGTGAACACGATAAGTAGCGAAATAATGCTTCGATTTTCAACTTCAGTATCTTGTTCGATTGGAAAGTGAATTTCGTTGGTGCATTAGGGAGGTCAAAATTTAAAATTCACAGACATTTTCAAAAGCGTCAAGAAAAACAAAAGAAAAATTAAATTTGGTTTTTGGTATAATTTAAAAAAAAATTACAGTAGATACATGCAATTTTCACTGGTTGTTTATATTTGCATTTTCTACACACGATAACATTTTCAAAATATTTTGATTTATTTTGAACTGTTTATTGACATTTTCAGTTTCAAATTGTATTAGTTTTTTTTCTTTATGAATATCAATAAAATTTTATTTATTGAGTAAAAATACTTGAAATTTTAATAGAAGTATCCTAGTATATTGTTACAAAGGCAGATGAAAAATATTAAAAATCCTTAGTCACAGTTTTTTTTATAAGCATTTAAAGTTCAAAAATTGACAAAATATGGAAAAATCACGAAAATTAGCAAATTATTTTTAGTTAAGAATTCGTAAAAATTTCACAGAATGTTCGTATTAATACTGTACAATTTTGAAAATATTTTGACTCTTTTTGGCTGTTTACGGACATTTTCAGTTTTCAATTTTTTTAGTTTAGTTTTCTATAAATATCAATAAAGTTTTATCTGTTGGGCCAAAAAGTGTAAAAATTTAATACAAGGCTCCTGATATATTGTTACAATAGCATTTGAAAAATATAGAAAATACATATAGTGGCAATTTTTTTATTATAAGCATTTAAAGATCGAATTTTGACAAAATTTATCAAAATCTCGAAAATTATCAATTATTGTAATTAATAAATTATAAAATGTTCAGTTTTTACAGCTAAGGATTGAAAATTTAAAACAAAGGTTCTCATAAATAGTTCATACTGTAACCAAAAAAATCCAAAAAATATATTAACACAGTTATTTTTTACAGACATTTTAAATTCAAATTTGGACGAAATTATATATTAAAAAACCTAGAATAACTATTTTAGGTTTTTTGTTGTGATTGAATAATATTATTCGGGAGTACCTATACTTGAAACTTCTAAAGTGTATTATTATATATCTATGATAGTATCACGGTTTTTGTTGATGTATAACGCGTTATAAGTACCTATAATGGATATTGGATATGTAATATGATTAATTTGGAAATTATTATAGGTACCATCAAATTGGATCAAGATGGATCAAGAATCTCATATATATTTAATTTCACAGGAAAAACCAACACAAATTACGACAAACCGCTAAAAATGGGATTTTAATTTCTAACGCTTTGTTTATCACCATTGAAACGAGTACAAAATAATAATAATTATTATAATATAAATTCAATACCTACTTACAAGATATAATAAATAATAACAATATCCAGACTGACAAACCGTCTCCGCTCAGAATCGTTTTTCTTATACAATGATATTATATCATTGAATTCAAGTTTAATACAATCCTTTGAACATTGAACCAATTGTAACCTACTGACTACTGTACAGCAGAGTGACATCCACTTAAAAACTTTTTACTTTTTTCTACTTAAATATTACATATTATTGAATACCTACTTGGGATTTTTTATAGATACCATTTAAGAATTATGTTGTTACAATACAAACTTCTGTTTTTAAAATAGGAATCCTCTTTTTTTACTTTTAACCAAGTAAAAAAATGAATATACATTTAAATACATCTACATTTACAAGAACATTATCTGCTGAATAATTTGCAGTAAAAAAGGAGATTCTCATTTGAAAAATAAAAGTTCTACAGCCACAGGACACTCTAATATTAGTACAAAAAATATCAGGAATTTGAATA